GATGAAAACAAAAAAGTTTTTCAAAGAACCTATCACTCACTGACATGTCCTTCGGAGTTACTTTTATCCAGTAACTAGATGAGAACATACGTTGTCAGGGTGTAGACGAAGGTAGACTACGAGCAGTCTCTCTTTTTTCTTATTCTGTCGGGCGAAACCCAAGAGAAACAAAAAAGACCAGGCGCGTGGCAGAAAGCGCCTCGTCTCTCGCGTTTTGCCACTCAACGCTCACGCGCGCGTGCACTCCCCTCATTAGTCTAAGGTGAGGGCAGTTGCTCAAATTGCTTAATACAGATTGCTACCCATACATAAAAAGAGAGTTCCACGCTATGTTTCTGCTGAAAGTTAAACTAAGGATCCTTTCCCTTGAATTCTCCGGGCAAATCTTTGTCGATACTCTCAATCCACTTTAGCTCTTCCATGGCCTTACCCCTTCGCTTTAAGACGGTAACTTACTAAAATTTAGTTCTCATTCACAGTTATTTACATGTATTTTTTTTATTTTGAAGCTTACCTGTCGTTGGAATGGGTGTTCCTAAAAGAATAATGATTCGTCTTTGTGAGTATTTCGAATCAAGAGTATTTTAATTTGAAATTTGATGGGTCCAAAAATCTATGAAACTGTTATAAACGCGAACGAATGAAATTAAAATATGAGATGAAAACAATTTTTTCCAAAGAACATATCACTCACTGATATGTCCTTCGGAGTTAATTCTATTCTAACTAATTGAGAAGTCACAAAAGTTGTCAGGATGTAGACGAGGGCAGACTTCGAGCAGTCTCTCTTTTTTTCTATATTCTTTCGTGCGAAACGAGCAAGAAACGAAAATGACCACGCGCGTGGCAGAAAGAGCCTCGTCTCTCGCGTTGCCACTCAACGCTCGCTGCGCGTGTGCACTCCCCTCACTGAATCTCAAAAAATGAGAGACGCTCATAGCCGGCTAAGGCCAGGGCAATTGGTCCAATTGCTTAATCCAAGTTGGTACCCATACGTAACCGCGTATTTTTGTTTGTTTGTTTTGTTTCAGCGTATGGAAATTGATTGATGAGTAGATCACAATTATGTCTGTCAAAGTCACATCAGTATCAAGGAAAAACGTCAAATCAGACTTACCACCCCCACTCCCAGTGTTTTTACATTTGTACAGCAGATTCATCTGTTTGACATCAATAGCACTGGGACCTTTCCTCTGGCCGATTTGAGCCTGGGGGTTTAAAGCCGCACAAGAACTGACTGTTAACACATGATCAGGACCAGGCTAATACTTTGGCGGGGCAAAAAATATACGCCGAAGGAAGAAAACTTCCTTTTGCTCTCTAAAAGAGGCTAGACCTTCGCTGTAATGGCTCAGATCATCACGTAAACATAGAAGCCGTCTGAGCAGGGACTTAATACAATAGTAAGTAAAAGTGTCTTGAAAACAAACTTGGTCAGTAAGTGCCAAATCGAAGTCTTTTATTCCCATTTCAAACCTATACGACATTATATGGTCTTACCCCAGGTTTCTTTACTACAATTGTTGGCTGTCCGTTTTTGCTGAAGTAACTTGTACCGTAATGCATTATACTACCATAATCATA